TCTTCATATCTTAGAGCTAACATCGTTACAAATTCATTAGCGTCGTCAGACTAAATTTTATATTCGTGTGAACTTCAAAATTTTAATATTACTGTTCAACTGGTGTTTTGAATGATAACGAATGTTGTTAGTAACTATCAGTGGAAGGGTCAATGAAAAATATTCGGAAGGAAGGCTGCATGAATGAAAATATTATTTGTGCGTTGTTTTACATCCAAACAAATGTTTAATCGCTATGGATATGAAGTAATTTTGAGAAAGGATTGAAATAGTTAAGGGGAATTCTAAATCTATAGAATGTCCTTGTGGATGATTTATAAGAATAAATGACGATTTCAGTAGGAGTATGATAACGTGTCAAATGCGAAATTTATCACTAACAATACCCGGTCCTTCGTCATCGTCGATTGCGTTTGCGTTATGTCGATCACTGTCCTCCACACAAACTGATAACTCGAATGAAAGACCGCAGATGTTCCAACTGGATCATGTTCGTTCGAGACTTGAATTTACGGTCCGTTTGCATAAATCTGTTTAGTTTATTTCAGTAAATTAGCGTCAGCAAATTGAAAGGGTGCAACGGTGAACAGTATTTAACGTGATATTTTTCATCGAAAAATTGTGAAAGAGACCTGAGAGAGTTAGTAGGAAAAAAAAAGCTCGAAATCATCCTTTCTTTCATTATTTTTTCCCATCAAAATCATGAATTATTTTTGAATGAAATGTGATTCGTCCGAGAGTGAGGACGAATATTATTAGTTTTATAAATCGTTTGTTGCATTTCGATTTCATCTCCAAGACGTGAAGTTTTGATTCGTCAATATTTATGAGTATTCTGAAGGTATATAAGGCTGATGATAAAAATAAATAGTTGATAGAAAATTAAGATTAACACTGTTGAGAGTAATAAATGCAGTATAGAAACGATTTGAGTTCTGTCGAAATGCAGGTCCCACTGATGTTCCGACAACGTCTCGACTACACTTTCTATCGGAAGGATATCGCTTTAGATGACAGGATTTTCAACGTTCATAGAGTGTAAATTATCGTTTGCCATTTTGATTTGTTTATTTAAGCGTGCGACTGCTTCGAAATATTATACGTCCCTTCAACAAAAAAAGACAGGAAGTGAAAATGTACCCTAAAAAGACTGTATTCGAATATTATAAAAGAAAAAGTTCTATTTCTTAAAAACTTCATCTCAACCGAAATTTTACTTAAAGTTGTATTTTCAGAGGTCTTCAGCAGTATATGACGCATCTTGGTGTTATTAGTGTGACGTGTCAATTTCTATTTCCTCACATTGAGATGGAGGTTAGATCTCACTGCTAAAGTGTTACGTTTTGTGTTGAAAAAATGATGCGGTAATTAAGTTTGCATCACATAAGTAGGTGAGTGTATAAGATGACATAATGCAGGCACTGAATATTGTACCAATATTGGACGATGGAACCGTACGTTTGAGGTGGCGTATCAA